GGCCAGTCCTCTTGGGGCCACCCACATGCCTCAGCCGACCTCTCAAACAGGTCTATGAACACCTCCGGGTCATCCTGGGGACCCATCTTATTGAGAGGCACGTGAGTGGGCGGTGCTGGGGCAGATGGAGTTCCCGTAGCCCGAACCTCCCGGTCAATCCAGCTCCGGAACAGCTCGCGGTCTTCCTGCTGGGCTTGGATGAGTGCTCGGAAACGCCGTTCCTGATCGTCCCTCATGCTCAGCAGTGCCTGATGGTGTTCCTGGTGAAGACCCGCGAGTGATTGGATGACCTCCACAAATGGCGATCCTGGCGGGGACTGCATGACGGCGGCGGCGTTTTTCTTCCTTCCTGGGTTTCGGCACCAGTGTGATGTGGTTCAAAGGGTGGAAGGAAGAAGACAGGGTCAGCGTGACTGGGACTCGTGCTTTATTTGCAGCTCTCTGGCACAAACAAAAGAAGTGGCGCCCACTGCGCTTTCAATAACTTATTAAATAGCTCAGAATATAAATCTGCATACAATTCTGGCTCCCGCAAACAGTCTCCCTGTGTGGCTCGAGTTCCCTGTAAGTCTCTCTCCCTTGTTTCCCGATACTGGTGGCTTTTATCCGGTCTCTCCACACCAATTACTGAAACGAGACAGAGGTGTTTATCATTTGCAGGAGATACTTACTCGTCTCCTGTCTCTCTCTCCTGTTGCAGACCTCGCTGAACCACGCCCCCTCGCCACACAGCGGTTTCAAAGCTGAAGGTGGGCTCGTCTGGGATTTGAACCCGGGACCTCTCAGACCCTAAGCGAGAATCATACCCCTAGACCAACGAGCCAGTGGATGCTCCTGCATCTAGAAAATGCAAAATGAAGGCTCACAGGAATGTGAAGCTTTCCAAGAAACTCCTTTCTGCCGTACCTCCACTGGCTTGGGCTGCCTTCCCAAACCAATATTGCGAAAAATGCCAAGTCAAAGGACACGAGGCTTGAGTCACCTGCAGACGGCTACCCTGCAGCGCAGCCCATCTGAGCCATCTCAGAAACGACACCTCATTTCAGTGCAAGCGCTCTAAGTCAACGAGCAAAGTGGTTGACCAAGTTAAACTTGCAGACGAGGAACAAAGAAGAACAGCGAGATGCGGGCTTGAATATGCGCAGAAACAGCACTAGTCTAACTTGACGGAGGCTTGCGATTGGCCCAGAGAAATCAGCAAGGATGTATACTGCTCAAGAAAAGATGCACCAAAGATAGAGGCGGAATTTGAACCTGGGACCTCTCGCACCCTACGTGAGAATCATAACCCTAGAAGAATCAGCCATGACGTGCATGATTCTGGAGTCCCCCCCAGCCATTTATTTCACCGTGCTTGATTTACGGATATTGCTCAATAAAGAGACTCCGAAGTGGGCTCGTCCGGGATTTGAACCCGGGTCCTCTCACACCCTAAGCGAGAATCATACCCCTAGAACAACGAGCTATGGCGTGCATGAAATTGGAGTCCCCCTCAGCCATTTATTTCACCCTGCTTGATCTATGGATAATGCTAAAAAAACAAGAGGCTCGTCATTTGTCCCAATTTTTGGCGTCTTCGTGAACGAACTTCCGAATCATGGTTTTTAATGTGCGATTAAATCGTTCGACCAGACCGTCTGTTTGTGGGTGATAAACGCTGGTGCGAATCGATTTAATGCCCAAGAGTCCGTAAAGTTCGCGGAGAGTCCGTGACATAAACGCTGTGCCTTGATCGGTGAGAATCTCTTTTGCGATTCCCACCCGGGAAATTAGATGAAACAGTGCGTCCGCTACACTTTTCGCGGAAATGTTGCGGAGCGCCACTGCCTCTGGGTATCGTGTTGCATAATCCACTAGTGCATAATCTGGTTCCCCTGTTATACAACCGGCTTTGTCTGCACGGAGCCTGTAACAAATTCTCCATAGAGAGCCGCCCCAAAGTGTGGATGTTTTGTTCTCAGGTCCAGTACATACTGAATTTCATTTTTACTGTCTGAAGGTCCGTCCTCCCAAGTTTCTCTTAGAACTTCCAACACCCCGCGGGGCTGACGTCCGTAGAGAAGCTCGAAGGGGGCAATCCCCGTGGAGGCTTGGGGGACCTCACGCACGGCAAACAAGAGGGGTTCCAGCCATTCGAAGGGGACCTGCATAAGAGGGAGAGGGCACAATGATGCTTTTGGGGTGGCCGGCGGGTTCACCAGCTGACATTCACGACAAGACGCACACCACCTGCGCACATTCTCATGAATGCCCGGCCAGAAAAATCGGGTCATTAGACGATTAAGTGTTGCTGCTTGTCCTAAATGTCCGGCCATCAGATTACAGTGAGCCGCCTGGAAAAGCATTTCCCGACGGCTTTTTGGTACTAACAACTGAGTTGTATCTTGTTTTGACTGAGTGTCTTGGGTCACTCGATACAACCTGTCTTTTAAAATAGCAAAATAAGGATAGGAGAGCGGTCGAGTCGGTTGGAGAAGCTGCCCGTCGATGAAACGGACCTGTTCAAAGGCGTTTTTGAGCGTTTCATCCTGAGACTGTTCCAGGGAAAAATCATCACATTCTGTGAGGTTTCTCCTCTCAACAGCGCTCTGTTCCCCTGTCTCAGTTCCCATTGGTCCTGGCTCAGCTTCTCCTACCTGTGTGACCGCCCCCCTTCCCCGCTCTCCTTTCCCCCAAGAGACATCCGCACATAAATGCCCCAATAATACACTAAAACCTGGCCAATTTGTTCACAAAATTAGCGGATGTCTGAGGTGCGGGCTAACTGCAACCTCTACCCTATGATTTTGTCCCCGAAATTGAATATCTCACCGACATTAAGGGGTAGTTCACCACATCCCCGTGCACACACCGAACCTTAACCACGCGGCTCTTATCCAATGCCTCCGGCTGAATCAGGCTTTGATGAATTGAGGTTTGGTTACATCCCGAATCCACCAAAGCCTGATACGTACCCCCCTTAATACTCACGGGTATTTGGTACAGGCCAGCTTGATCGGGGGCAGCCTGTGGTGCGGCAGGCGTCCCGGAGCTGTTGCGCCATCATGAAGGGTCGGCCACACACAAGGTCCAGTGACCTGAAGCGCTGGCGGTGCTGCTCGGGACTCAGGCCGATCCGCTGGAGGATGGCGTGCTTAAGGTCTTTGTAGACCAGGATGTTCTGGACTGGCAGCTGTTGTGCTGCCACCTGCGCTTCTCCAGACAGCAGGGGGATGAGCTGCACTGGCCAGTCCTCTTGGGGCCACCCACATGCCTCAGTCAACCTCTCAAACAGGTCTATGAACACCTTAGGGTCGTCCTGGGGATCCATCTTATTGAGAGGCACATGAGTGGGCGGGGCTGGGGCAGATGGAGTTCCGGGGACTGCATGCGGCGGCGTTCTTCTTCCTTCCCGGGTTTCGGCACCAGTGTGATGTGGTTCAAAGTGTGGAAGGAAGAAGACAGGGTCGGCGTGACTGGGACTCGTGCTTTATTTAAAGCTCTCTGGCACAAACAAAAGAAGTGGCGCCCACTGCGCTTTCAATCACTCAGTAAATAACTCAGAATATAAATCTGCATACAATTCCTGCTCCAGCAAACAGTCTCCCCGTGTGGCTCGAGTTCCCAGTCAGTATCTCTCCCTTGCTTTCCGATTACTGGTGGCTTTTATCCGGTCTCTCCACACCAATTACTGAAACGAGACACAGGTGTTTATCATTTGCACTTGACCTACTTACGCACCGCTCGTCTCCTGCATCTCTCTCCCGTTGCAGACCTCGCTGAACCACGCCCCCCTCGCCACACAGGGGAACTGCGAACTTTAGACCGCAGCCTCGCGTTTCACTCGTAGCTGAGAGATGGTGTGACTGACTCCAAAACCTGCCCAAAAACAAACAGTACTGAGATTAGGGAACATATTTTAACATCAAATTAAATTACACTCAGTATTATAACGAATAAAATCCATTTATGTTATGCAAGGCAAAGGCTTTTCCAGTGCGAAACGACCGCTGCTGACACAGCTGACCAGAGGCGGACAAAGTACTCAACTCCATTACTTGAGTGAAAGTACAGATACTGCTGGTCAAATATTACTCC